CAATTTGAGGTATATGCACATGTTTCTTCGTCTACCTACAGCGCACATTGTGATACCGCTTACTGCAGAAAAATTTAGTTTTTGAATTTAGCCAAAACAATAGTTTCGTTCGCGGTTCCGATTCGGGATTGATTCTGAACCACTTCGCATGCGCACTTCAAAAATCGGCGTTCGCGGTAAGAAAATTCTGAACTTTTAGTTACGGTTCTGCGTTCGCGGATCATATCGAATTGGTACAGAACTGATTCCGAATTGGTCCTGACGGTTCTCAGATTTTTGGTGAGACTAAAAGTTCGATCCGACTGATCATGCGCATTAGCATCGTTATGGACATTTGATATTTCATCTTCCGCTGCCTCTGTTCGGGTTTAAAGTGTTTAACCTATTCTGTGAAAATCTGTCACCTGTGCTTTTTAGTGCTTGCTGTTTCATACATAATTATGTTTTGTGTGTTCCATCTTAAGTTCTTAAGATTCAGTGCTCAAGATTTTGTGTTTAAGATGTCGGACTATTTATCGTTTAGTGATGATGATTTGGAAGAAATATTGGAAGTTATTGAAATACCGAAAACACCCGGAAGCTGTCAATAGTGTCAATCGAATAGCAGCTTGGCAACAGCACAAAATAGAGGGCAAATTGGCAACAGTGTTGAATACGCAAACGGTTCCAAAGTCGTTAGCGGTAAACGAAAATCTCGAACTAGAAAATAACTGGACATGCGCATTTTTGTAATTCTGGATGGTTCAGTTTTAGTTCCGAACTGGTTCATTGTTTGACCTGCGAACGCAATTAATACCTACCACTGGCGACACGTCTGTCAATGAGCGGCAATTCCAGCTATCTGACAATTACGCGTGCTATTTTTCTTAACTTTGCAATGACACACGACGTTGTGATTTCTCAAAAATATCTCGCCAAAGGACACACCCAAATGAAATGTGACTCTGTACACATTTGCTTGTAAAGAAAACGGATAAATAGAGTTATTCAATTACCAAATGACTATGTTAAGGCGTCAAAAGAAGCTAGTACAATACCAGAGCCATATGAGGTGATCCAATTGAGTTACGACTTCTTCAAGGACTACTCTCGAACAGAGGTGCAGCGATACTCAACAATTAGACCAGGCAGTGACAATGTAGTCACGGTCATCAAAGTACTATGTTATAATCCCGATGGAAGAATTGAAGTGAAACTCTAGACTTCAGTGTAGAGCCTCAGGAGTTGCCTACGAGACCAGAACAGCTACTCGTCGTTTCAGATTATAAGAGCTATATCTAAGGACTGTAACATGTTTAACGACAATTTGCTATATGTCAAGGAAAGAAGCTGAACGTTCATTTAAGGTGTAACTGAGAATGCTATTATCTTTTTTATTTGTAAAAGCATTAAACTTTTAATTTGATATAATGAATAACATTTTTTCTAACACGAATCTCACTAACTCGATCATAGGCATCATAGTACAATATCGCTAACTGCAAAAAAAGTTAGCAGAAATGTCAGCTATCTGCACTAATTTTGTCAATTAGTGCTTCATTTAGATAAAAACGCATTAAATATGTGTTAAACGTCATTTATTTTTTGTGACCAAGGTTGTAGAGTCTTAAGGCCGGTAGTATAAAATTGCTAAGGTTTTTTTCGTCCTTGTAAAATTACGGTTCCTGCATTTAGCAGGTATTGTCAGATGTCCGACGATATACAAATTTGTTGAATTTCAAAAATGAGAGAGATAAGAAATAATTATATTCACTGTACACTGTCGAATTACAAGCCATATACATAACAGTAATTGCACACAACGCGGGCGCGGTGATGGTTTCTCGTAATTCTCCTCAGCTTTTCGTAATTTATAACTTTGAACATAACCTCTCTTCAGAAAGCACAACATAAAAATAACAGCCAACAGATATACTTCATTGGCAGCATATTCAGTAATGATTTTCTCACAGAGCAAATATCACTGATTTTATACACATACAGACCAATACACATAATCATCCAGATGCGATCTTGCTATTCAACCAACTTTCTTCTCAGAGATAAAAACTGCAGACCCCGGATCACTAAGCCTCACAAAGCTGTGCAACCAATAATGCGTAGTTTAGTTGACTGATTCCTCCACAGATGGACGTTCACAACGATCCTAGTGAGCAAACGTGGAATGACTGTTTGCGCCCTAAAAACTACCTAGTTTGCAAGATGACATCTTATAGGTTTTTTTGACGTTTTATAGGTTTTTTACATGATACCCATGCGGAGGCTGAAAACGAATGATATGGCAGTGCTGGTCGGAACACATCTCTAAGGTATACCACAGAATATCCATATATCTGCAAGACACTAAGACATTCATACGATAAATTGATAGTCGTGTCAGTTTCATCACGTCTTCGCATTATTTCACATACAGGTTAAGATTTTACGGAAATTTGAGAAATTTACAAAGTTGAAGTATTTTTCGGTGATAAATCCGCTGTCAACATCAGCCTGAGACTTTCTGAGTACTACTATAAACGCGAAATACAATGCGTCACCATATTTTACCTTAACAATCAAGTAGCATCTGAACAATAAACAAAATACATTAGTGGCTTTGCATTGCACCTTCCTTGTGTGCGCTACCAACTCGCGTACAATACCGCAGAATATGGCAAGCATGCCCATTCATGGCTACTGGCAGTATCATGATTCTATACTAACCAGCAACTCAGCACAATGCGCCTATTCGGGTGAATCCTAACGAATGCTGCTTTAGCGCTTCTTGCTTTTGATTTAACGGTTCCAAGTGCATTTGCGTGCTGTGCGAGAGAAATCGTACCGGAATTCCAAATGCGTCGTCGATTCTTTGTTTCCGAACTCGCGTGAAACTAAAGTATACAGGCTCTTCATTCACCTTAATTTTGCAGCTAGTTTACCTTTTAAAGGTTTGACCATAAGACTTCCAAAGGTAAATATGCATACTCGAATCGAGATCGGAGTAGGTCAGCAGAAAACAAGATAATCACTTCGTTCATGTCAAATAGGATTAATATTTATTTAGGATTTAGATAAACTTGAATATGAAGCGTTTATATCGCAGGTGATAGTATCTACGGTCATCCACTTTCAATCCTCGATAAATTAACAAGTGACATTTGCTCTGGTGTGGGGTCGCCCACAAAATTTCTAAAATCGGATCAAAACGATATTGGCAAAGACAAATCCAAATCCTCTCCGCTCATTTGTACGATCGGTTCATCCTGTTGAGAGGATGATCGTAACTGTTCATATTAGATATTTTTGATCTCAATCCTAAGATCATCTTGCATAAATCTATACAGGGTGTCGCATCGGGAACTCCATCGACAGATTTCTCAAAAAGTAGGCATATGATATTTTTGGAATAAGCTAATGTGACAGGCCAACGGCAGCTTAAACATTTTCAAGATGGTGACACTTCCGGTTATACCGGAAGTTGATGCCAACTTGCTCCTTTTAAACTGGACACTCTGTATATTACTCAATTCGGATTCTACGTAAAATTCTTATCACATTTTATGTATAATCTCCTGTACCCAAGTCTAACCGTTTTTGACATAATATTTCAAATTTTATGTCAAAAATGACGTTTGCAGGGCCTAAAATAATTGTTCATCTCCCGTATGTAGAACACCTTATTGTTTAATGTGGATTGATTTTCTGGTAAATAAGGATATAGTTTAATAGACTTTGTATGACATTCCGATAATTATTTATACAGGGTGGTCAAAAAAACTGCCAAAAGTTGATTTTTTCAAATGAAAACCCCATATTTTCATAAGTTTATCGCACCAATCATTAAAAATTAGCCTAACTTGATACTAGGTTATATATCCCAAAAATGTTTACTTTTCGAGTAATTTGCAATTTATTGCTTTTCTATTGTAAAAACACAAAAATAATATTTGCAGAAAATTCAATGATTTATAATACTATAATACGGCCTCATATAAATATGGAAGTTAATATGGACAATGAGCATAAGTTTTAACGTATTTTACCTGAAGATAGCACTTCATATGCTGTATTCCGTATAAAAAGCAGACTCAAAGATACTAGCGCCATCTATGACATAGTAGCAAAACACAAAAATGAAATAAGCAAGGAGTTAGAGCGTTTGGTCTGATTCTTTTTTGGCTCCTGTAAGGCCTATTTTTACCTGGTTTTTTGCGTATCATCAGGTGGAATAGGTTAATCAACGCCTGAAGATTATATTGGCTTCAAAGGGACCAAAAAAAGGATTGAAGATCCTAGCGTCATCTATGAGACAGTAGCAGAACCAAATAATTTAACTCATTCCAATGTAGATTTTTATATTGATTTTTTATTCTGCTTCTGTCGTACCAACGGCTCTAACATCTTCCTTATGCTTGGTACCTATGACGCGAGAGAAGTCGTACTGAAGTTCCAAATGCGTTGATAAGTGTTTATTTGTTTCCGGGTTTTGATGAAATTAAAGTACTGTTTCTTTGCTTTATCTTGTTGTTGAAGACGCAATAATTAAATATCTAAAACAAGAAGCGATTAGGGCTTCAAAGACCTGTGGGTATTGTTGGTCCTGCTTTCTTCATTCGCGACCAACGATAAATTGAAGACGATTAATGTTCATAAAAATATAAGGCGGTAACTTGTCAAAGTATACGCTATTAGGACTTCTGAAGCAGCATAATCTATACATATTATTACAGAAACTTTTATCTGCTTCTCACACAAACCTTAAGGTCCAATATTTCAGAAAATTTGCTACTCAGATAGGCGACTTTGTGAAAAGATATCTCCTAACAAATAAAACAATATACACCTACATGTCAACTGATAACTATCCATTGCCTTTTGTCTCTGGGTATCTAATTACGAACTGCCAATTCACTGATATTATTGTCGAAATAGCTTTTTCCTTACAGTTATCGATCAACGAATTATTACGCATTAAATATTGCTTTTCCTACTGATTTCACTTACGCGAGACATTTTTATAGATGTCTCATATCGAAATCACCCTTTATTGCAAGAAGTCGCTTATTAAGCGACAAAATAAAACAAACAGATCCATTAAACTGCGAAAAATAAAGAGTTGCAAGTATAAGATCGCGTCTGAAGGTGCGCTTTAAATCGTTTCGCTCACGCCATCGGCACGGCTGAGGTGCAGATAGCATCCCAAATCGAAGGCAGCACATCAAGATACCACCTAATTATCGCTGGCTGATAGTGACAATTTTTAAGGCAGTGGCGACTCGTCAATCAAGGTAAGGACTACTTTGCTAATAAGAAACATAAGAAAAGGACCAGGATCCGTAAGCAGATTTCGTGGCCCTGGAAATAACTCAAAGGATCGGAGTCTATAAGAGGATTTTTCTAACAGCGCAGCGTGCTGAAAGTGACACTTTTCCGCATACATTTCGGTATGGAAAGCCAATAGTAAAAATGTCAACGGGTACTAATTTAATCCTTATTTACAATATATCATTGTCAACATAAATAAAATGTAGCTGTCACATTCTGAAGGCTGACTGAATATAATGCTTGGTTCACAGCAATGTCAAAATTTTTACTGAATGACACAATATCTAATGCATCAAAATACACTACCCAACCTGAAATATCTTGGGTTCAAACATTAACCGAACTACCACCCTACCTGGGATGTTGTCATCCGCCATAAATCTTCAAAATGCCAGCCTGCTCTTTATAAATATTAATTTAATTATGCTTACGTTTTTTGTTATTAAAGTATATAATTTAAATTTTTACAATATACGTATTCTTGATTGTCTTGTTCCTAACTCTTGCGGAAAGGTCTGTTCCGCACTCGACTGCTGGCCTAGGTATCTCCAGTGCAGTCGAGTGCGGAAAAGTATCACTTTCCGCACTTATTATAGAAATAATTATTTCGGCTTTGAAAATAACGCAAAATTCAAGTTGCTCGCAGCTGTGAAAATCCACCATTTGAATATTTTGAAACATGTATTTTAAATTTTTCTTCAACGTTTTCTTTTTAGTACTCAAATGAAAATGAAAATGTTGATGTAAGTTTAAATTATATATATATATATATATATATATATATAGGTGAAAAATTAAAGCTTCCGCCTTTTGTTGGGTACTTCGACAAAATTTAAGCAAAGAGGACTCTTTATACTTTTTTTAATTCTCTCTAGCTTTCAATGGACTTTGCCATCATCATCAGAAGCTGCAATTACAATGATAGTTATATATATAACTTGAGACGTGGTCACTGTCGTCTAGACCAGTTAGGTGAAAAATTAAAGCTTCGTCGGTTTAACAATTTCTTACATAACATTCTGAAAATCACATCATCTGAAGTGATTTGGCAACGTTTGGCACACGCCCACAATTCGTTCCATCTTTCAACACAGACATTGACAACCTTCGGCCTTCTGTCAAAGGGTTCATCTCACTCATTATTCCATGACCACCATTTTGTGCAATCATCAAGTGGCTTCACGATGTAATGCTCTAATGTTTTTAAATAATTTTTAATCTGTTTTTAACTTGTTCTTGTCATATTTTATATAATTTTGACCATTGTACCATCTATCCAGCTCTCACCATGTTACTGGACGTTTCCCTCATCCTATACGTAAACAACAATTAGCAACATCCTCACATACTACTGTAAGTTGAGTCAATTTAAATTCATTTTACACTTTTGTTGCTACTGTTATCATTATAATTGCAGCTCCTGATGATGATGGCAAAGTCCATTGAAAGCTAGAGAGAATTAAAAAAGTATAAAGAGTCCTCTTTGCTTAAATTTTGTCGAAGTACCCAACAAAAGGCGGACGCTTTAATTTTTGACCTATATATATATTTTGGCTTGGTATTTACCAATCCGTTCAAGCGAGTGTAGTTATCAGTTTGGTTATAAGATCCGTGACGTCACGAATCAGCTGTTATATGTCATAGTTATCACCGCAAAATTGTGGTATTTACCCAACTCAAGAGTAGTTTTATATTTCTGGTTATTATTTGAAATGTGACAAGTTAGAATTTTGCCGGGTATTGGATATTGTTATTGTACTTCAGCTTCATTTTTGAGAAAATTGATACAGGCTGACTTCAGTTTTACCATAAAGTGGAGCACCTTATTATATACTCATTACGGTTGTTGGGGACACTTTAAATGTAGTTCCTATGCTTAACAAAGTATCCTGTGTAGTCATATACCACAAGAATATTAAAATCTGGTCATATAAACTCACTAGATGATATCCACCTGTATACGGTTTTGCTAATTTCTTTTTTCATCATTTCTGCTGATTCAATAAATGTTTTCTTTGACATGCGAAAAAATTTAGAGAATTGAAAGTTATCATAGCTACAAAGCCATGGTTCCATCATTAAAAAAAAATCTGAAAAAACATTTCTCCCATGAATATTATGAAAGGTTTCTTATTTAAACTTTCCATATACAGTTGTAGACGAAAAAGCACCGATTATTAAGTGATAATAAAAATAATCAGTGATTATATACGCACTTTTCTAAAATAAACAACTTGTAACAAAACCGCGGTTAAAACCAACGCGTTCAAGCGATTCGTGTAACTGACGTCATCAACCCGTGTGTCATCTTGAACCATATTATAACCGCGGCACATAACACAGAAATTTTGGTTATTCGCTTGGATTTGATTTAAATAATTTTTAATCTGTCTTTAACTTGTCTTGTCATATTTTATATAATTTTAACCATTGTACCATGTATCCAGCTCTCACATGTTACTGGACGTTTCCCTCATCCTATACGAAAACAACAATTAGCAACATCCTCACATACTACTGTAAGTTGATTCAATTTAAATTCATTTTACACTTTTGTTGCTACTGTTATCATTGTAATTGCAGCTCCTGATGATGATGGCAAAGTCCATTGAAAGCTAGAGAGAATTAAAAAAAGTATAAAGAGTCATCTTTGCTTAAATTTTGTCGAAGTACCCAACAAAAGGCGGAAGCTTTAATTTTTCACCTAACTGGTCTAGACGACAATGACCACGTCTCAAGTTATATATATATATATATAAGTCTCATCAGCACTTCTGGGCAAGCGGATGGTAAAGATCAAACTTTCATTCGTTATACGTACAGTAATACTACAAATTGTATGGTAGCAACATCCAAAGTTCGCCTTTTAAGAATCAATAGCTAAGAATTTTGGAGACAACAAAATTCGGCGACCGAGTCCTCTTACTACATCTGTCACAAATGTGAGCTGGCTCATAGCTGCAACCTCTATCTTACACACCGTATATGATTCACCGACATTGGTCTAAAACACCCCCTTGAAATTCGTTATCTCCAAAGGTTACGTAGTACTATTAATTCCCAATAGGCAGCATGGATGTTGCTTTCATAAAAAATGTAATTATCATATACGTGTAAAATCTAAAACAATAGTTTATAATTCCGGTAATATGCTTTACAGAGTTATATGTTGTGTGTTACGTCAAGTGGTTACCACCGAAGTTACTTGTCTTTCACGTCTTAGTCAGGATGTCAATAACCATTAACATTGAAAGCTATAGAGCTGTTATGATTATAAGCAACGTTGGTAAGGTTTACGAATGTATATTGCATGATATAATTTTCTCCCATGTTAAGCAGGAAATTACTCCAAATCAACATGTTTTTTCCAAGGCATATCTACTTTAACTAATCTAGCGTTTTTTAAACAGTTTTGCTCTGAAGTTGTTGATGAAGGGGGGCAAGTAGATGTTGTTTACGTTAACTTTTCAAAGGCTTTTGATAAGCTAGAACACGGTATTTTGTTAACGAAATTAGCTACGCGAGGGTTGACCCATCAATTCTTGAATTTGTTGAAATCTTATCTTACAAACAGAGGCTTAAAAGTTTGGGCTTCATTATCAGGAATTATAGGGATTTCAATAATGTGTATACCTTGATATCGTTATACAGGGTGTCCGCAAAGTTGAGGTTTTCCTTTTCAGAAACAACTACCCTTGAAATAACAAAGGTAATGTGTAGTGAAACGCGGGCGACCAAGTAAAAAAATAAAGGAAAAAGTACTCACTCTCCAGTTGACGAGAAGGGCTAAGTACGTCTCTGCCCGAAATCATACCGCTCCAACAGAAAATGAAATCAGCTGATGCGCTACCGAGCAGACGCAGAAACCACATTGATTGTCTTACACTTAATGGCACATCTTCCAACAAGGAAGGCAAAATGTTGCGTAAAAAGTCTAGGTATTGCATTCCGTCCAATCGATTTGGGAGAATGAATGATCCAATGAGCATACCGTTCACCATGCCAGCCCAAACATTCACCGAAAATGTTTGTTGAAAATGTGCCCGACGGACAGCGCGCGGATTTTCTACTGACCAAACATGAGTGTTGCGAAAGTTACTCACCCCATTACCCGTGAACGTAGATTCGTCTGTCACCAATATGCACTTCAAAAAGTCCGGATTGATGCAACAACAACTCACAAAACCGCACTCTTGCCGGAAAATCGTCAGGTTGAAGGGCTTGTACACGTTGGACGTGAAACGGATACAGCCCCTCTTCACGCAGCGTTTGCCACACTTAGTTTTTGATACTTGCACTTCTCTAGCCACGTCTCTAGTGCTTGTTGAGGGATTCTCGTCTACGCGATTACCTCTACACGCGTGACCGTAACCGTCGGTTGAAGGTTGCATACTGACCTGACACACTGACCCCGACCCAGTTCTGTCGTCGGGTTGAGCCAGTGACCTTGTACCAGTCGGTGATGTCGCGGCTACAGGACGGTATTCAGATATTTTTGATGTTGCAGAGCCCTTTATCTCGTTTCCTTTAAGACATTGGTGTATATGGTACTAAGAAAAATTGCTTGTTTTCAAGATCTACACGTCATGTAAAGGAAAACCCCAACTTTGCGGACACCCTGTATAATTCATTTGTTAGATCCAAAATTGAATACTGCTCTATAATATGGTATCCTGTTCATGAAGTTCACTCGAATAAAATTGAAGGTATTCACAGGCGGTTTGTGAAACATTTGTGGCACAAGGAAGATGGTACGTATCCAGAAGTTGGCTTCAGGCATGATGTATTACTTAGCAGATATAACCTCTGTAACTTGGAGAAGCGCAGAAACTTCGCTGCTTGTGTATTTTTATATAAAATGCTTAATAATGCCATGAATATTTGCTCGGTAAGATTCTTATTCATGTACCTAATGCTAAGACGCG